CACCATAATAGAGAAGATAGCCCATAGTGGAGGTGCGATCATCCTGATCACCCGCCCAATCCGAATCGGCAAAGGCAACCAGGGACGAACTAGTAGTAGGAGTAATCCGAAGACCATAGGAGGCAGTGCCCTTAAGATAACGAAACAGACGCTTTACAGACTGCCAATGGAGCTGAGTAGGAGCATGCATGAACTGGGAAAGTTTGTTGACGGCGAAAGCAATGTCAGGGCGAGTGCAAAGGAGATATTGAAGTGAGCCAAGAGCCTGCCTGAACATAGTGGGATCAGCCGGTGGTGAGCCATCATGGAGAGTAAGCGCGGCAGTGGAGCTGAGCGGCGTTGGGGCTGGTTGTGAGTCCGCCATGCCGAACCGGTCGAGGAGGTCATTGATAAACTTGTGCTGCGAGAGCTGGATGCCCGTGGAAGTGGGGAGAACCTCGATCCCCAGAAAATAATTAACCTGCCCAAGACGTTTGAGAGAGAATCTGGCGGAGAGGCGATCCTGGAACTGGGTAAGAAGAGCCTCGTCGTTCCCAGTGAGGAGAAGGTCATCAACATACACGAGGAAATAGAGAAGGGAGTCACCGTGACGATAAACGAACAAGGAGGCATCGGAGGTCGTTTTGGTGAAGCCTTCTTGATGGAGAAAGGAGCATAGCTCCATATACCAGGACCGAGGAGCCTGCCGGAGGCCATAGATGGGCCGAGAGAGACGGAAGACATGATCAGGCCGAGCAGGATCTCGGAAACCGGGGGGCTGAGCCATATAGATAGTTTCCTGTAAAGAGCCCTGAAGAAACGCATTATTCACGTCAAATTGATAGACAGGCCAATGGTGAGTCAAGGCAATAGAGAAAACCAATCGGATAGTGACCGGCTTCAACACCGGACTATACGTTTCATGATAATCAAGACCAGGACGCTGCGTGAAGCCCTTGGCCACAAGACGGGCCTTAAAGCGATCGACGGAACCATCGGGATTGCGTTTGATGCGAAAAACCCATCGACATCCCACAATATTATGATCAACAGGCCGCGGGACCAATGTCCACGAATTATTGCGAAGGAGAGCATGAAACTCATCAAGCATAGCAGCAGCCCAGCGAGGATCAGAGAGAGCTCGTTTAACAGAGGAGGGCTCAATGTCAACATACGATACCTGTGCCGAGAAGAGTTTCTTCGGCTTAAATATGCCGCTCTGGCTGCGAGTGGCCATGGGATGAGACCGGGAAGGAACTACGTACCTTCATGGGTGCTGGCGGTGGAAAGGCCGGATGAGAGGACGAAGCCATGGGAGATTGAGGGACAGCAGCGGCCGAGGGAGGACGAGGAGAGCGGACAGTGGACGAGGGCGGGGATGGACTGGCAAGTGAAGCTGGCGGAATGGGCAGGCTGTACTGGGTAATGGGAGGGGTAGCTTGAGCAACCCAATCCGACGAGGAGACAGAGGTAGTATCAGGCGAGGGAAGGCCAGGGAAAGTGGTTTCAACGAACTGGACATGGCGGGAAGCGAAGACACGTTTGGTGGAGGGATCATAACACTTATAAGCAGATTGAGTGAGGGAATAACCAAGAAAGATGCAGGAGCGGGAGCGAGGGGCGAGCTTGTGGGGTGAGTATGGACGAAGCCAGGGGTAGCAAAGACAACCGAACGATCGAAGTTTGAGATAGTTGGGTGACTCGTTGAAGAGGGAGAAATATGGGGTGGCGCCACGAAGGGAAGAGGAGGGTAGGCGATTGATGAGGTAAGTAGCGGTTTGAAAGGCATGGGGTCAGAAAGAGAGAGGGAGGCGGGCGGTATGAAGGAGGGAGAGACCAGTCTCTACCACATGACGATGTTTACGTTCGGCGAGACCGTTGTGTTGGGGTGTGTGTGGGGGAGTTAACAGATGGGTAATGCCGTTTTGTTGAAAGAAGGCGCATAGCATTTGGAATTCACCGCCACCATCGCTAAAGACACGACGAATAGAGGTTTGGAAATAATTGGTGATCATAGTGGTGTAGGTCGTAAAAACATGATACACATCAGACTTGCAGCATAACGGATACAACCATGTGTAACGGGTAAAGTGATCAACAATGACGAGGTAATATTGGAAAGAATCATCAGAAAGAACAGGGGATGGACCCCAAACATCCATGAACAACAAATCAAATGGACGGGTACTAGTCAAACTGGAAACATCAAAAGGTAGTTTATGACTCTTATGCAGTGAACAAGACTCACACGAAAGAGAGGAACTAATGCGAGAGGTAGGAAGGGATTGATTACGAAGCAAACGTAACATTAATTTGGAATTTGGGTGACCAAGGCGATGATGCCAGGTGGCGGCTGAAGTCTTGACAGTGGACAGGGCAAGGCGAACGGGTGAGGAATCCACTGGCAGCTCATACACGTCGTCCCTATTTTGGCCGCAAAGAAGAGGCGCCCCCGTGGCTAGGTCCTTCACAACAAAGCAATCAGAGAAAAATTCCACCGAAACCGGGTTAGTTTTACATAATTGGGCAACGGAGAGCAGCCGACGTTTAATCGCTGGAACACAAAGAACATCATGAAGATGTATACGTGAGGAAGGAGTAGAGAGAGAAGAACAGTCAACATGAGTGACTTTCAGACCTGTCCCATCACCTACGAGGACCTCATCGGGGCCGTTGTAGTCGGTGTAGAGAGAAAGAGCTCCAAGATCAGGGGTAACATGATTTGTAGCCGCGGAGTCAAGAAGCCAGCCTGAGGAAGAAGCTCCAGTAGTAGTGGTGTGATGAACAGAGGGTCGACCTCTAATTTTAAAGCAATCCTTGGCCGAGTGGCCCACTTTATCACAGAATTGGCACAGCAATTGCGGCCGGCCGAGAAGAGACGGCGCAGAGGAGGGCACCGGAGGGCTGGAGGAGCCACGAAGGTGAGAGGCACCACGGGGAGGGGAATCATAATAGGACAGGGCCTGTTGAGAACGCCGCAGACTGCCGCGACCGCGCGCCTGTGGGGAAGAACGACCACGAGAAGAAGTGAAGGCGGTCGTGGGAGCCAACATGGAAGAAGGGCGATGTGACGCAAAGTCAGCCTCGAAGTCGACCAAGCGATCGTGCAGATCCTCGAGAGCAATGGTTGTATCGCGGGCACAAATAGCAGCAGAGAGAGGTCCATATTCCTCACGGAGACCTCGCAGAACATGGAGAATGAGGTCTTCATCCGATACCGGGGCTTGAACAAGAGCCAATTCAGCCGCGGTTGAACGCATGGCCTGGAGATAAACAGCGACGGGGCGGGAGCCCTGAGTTTCACGGGCAAGCTTCTCCTTAAGATTCATAACCCGTTGGCGGGACTGACTAACAAACATCCGTTCCAAAATCAGCCAGGCTGCGCGAGAGGATTCAGCAGCAGTAACATAAGGCGCAACGCCGGGAGTAACAGACGCCAGGATAGAGTGAAGAAGGAGCTGGTCCTAACGAAACCAGTGGGTGCGATCAGTGGCTGGAGCATCTGAGGCCGGTGCAGGATGGGAGCCGTCAAGAAATTTGAGAAGATCCAGGCCCCTGAGAAGAGTGACGAGCTGGGCACGCCAGGTGGGGAAATTTTCGCCATTGAGCTTGTTGGGCAGCTGAGCGGCGGGATTGAGAGTGATGATTGTGTTGGGATTATCAAGATTGATAACGGATTCACCAGAATTTTGAGTCATGGTGATCGGCAGGGAAGAAGAAAGAAAAAGAAGGAAGAAGATTTTCAGGAGGAGGTTGTAGGGTTAAGGAGATCGGAGCGCAACTCTGATACCATGTGAATGCTTAATGATGTGTTTTGCATTGAATCAAATTGTGGGTTTAATACCCAAAGTTACAACAGAACTAACGTGAGCTAAGCAACACATAGCAAATGAGTAGGAGTAGTGGAGCTAAAACTTAGGAACTAACCAAACAGATTACAATAATTAAATAATTAACATATATCCTTATCACTAATGACGAAGATACCATCTCTCCCAGATGCCATGTTTGCTGGGTGCCAGGTGAGAATCTAGAACATTTATTCTTGTATTGTAGAGTCGCGGCGGCCCTTTGGAACCGATCGGGTGTGGCGGGTGTGGAAGGGATGGCTGATGTGTCTAACTTTGCTTTTTTTTCTTCCGTAGGGTTGTTGAGCAGGATTCTGGGACGGAGCGGATTGTGCGTTTGGTGGCTTTGTTATGGCAAATATGGAAGAGTCGGAACTGGGTAGTTTTTGAGCATTTGCAGTATGATATACCGTGTTTAGCCCGTCAGTATGAGGAGCAGGTGCGAGAGTGGTTGGCGTTTGTACAGCCGGCGCAGGCTCCGATGCTGCGGCGTAGAATTTTGGCAGGGGGTCGGGGTCCGGATCAGTCGCAGCTGGCGTTGCCTTTTTCCTGTCATGTGGATGGGGCGGTCGCATCAGGGTCTCATGGGTGCGGGGGGCTTGGTTGTCAGGGATGGAATGGGATTTGAAGGGTGGGCGATTCCTTGAAGAGATTGGAGGGTTACGGCGGCAGTATCATAACTTTGGTGTTTCTTTTGTTGGCAGGAATGACAATCGGGTGGCTCATGATGTAGCCAGGAAGACCCTCTCTATATTACCTGCTGTTGTTGAGAGTTTTGATTTTGATCGGTGGTTTCTTTTTGGATTGTAAACATTGATATCTTTGATTTTGGTAATGCCAGTTGTCTATTACTAAAAAAAATTATTAAAATTCCAAATTTTACCACAAAATACGACTTTGATCCTAATTTCTAATTAAGATTACCACACATGATTATAAAAAAAAAACCACATATGAAAATTTCAAGTTAACTGTTAAATATTACACGACTTTAAAATTAAATATTAACATTGTTGATTGATCCTTTCCCGATCAACAACTCGATATTACATTAACGTGACTGTCACGTAATTTAGTCGTTCTTGATTGTCAATGGCCAGTTGGCAGAAGTAGCTGGAACTGGCAAATGGTTAACCAAAAAAAAAAACAAATCCCAACTACGTATTCCGTAAAAACGTGTCATGATTTCTTTAACCGTTTGACCGCCATCGCAACATCCCAATTTTTTTACCCTTCCCTAATCACTCACAATCACTCCACAACTCTTCCCCTGTTTGCTGGATCCACATCTTCCCCCCTTCGCCAGAAATTTTATCTACCACTTCCCTCTTGATTTTATTACCTTTTCGGCAAAATTTCCAATTAATTACACTTGTTTTTACCCTAATCAATCAATTGCCTCCTCGGATTAGTTTTTATCCTTTTGATTTCTCTTCATGCTTATCCCTTTTCCTAGACTGATTTAGGCTTTACGAATGTGATTTGTTTTGTTTCTCTCTGTTTTCCATCGTCCTCCTAATTTTCACCGCGGTGAAAACCTACCCACGAACAGTCATGGCTGAATAAACAATCGTCACACCACTTCACACTCAGATCGGAGCCCAAAAATCACCATGAGAGGAGCGGTGCTCGTCGCCATCGCCGCTACAGTAGGCAACTTCTTACAAGGATGGGACAATTCCACCATTGCAGGTAAAACACCAACACATCAGATTCCATCTCTCTAAACAATGTTCTTCGCATCGTCATAATTTTTTTTTTGCCCGCTCTGTTAATTGATATACAGGGGCGGTGATTTACATAAAGAGGGAATTCAATCTCGAGTCCCAACCCACGATGGAAGGCCTGATCGTGGCCATGTCGCTGATGGGCGGGACGGCGATCACGACGTTCTCCGGTCCGGTCGCCGACGTGTTCGGCCGGCGGCCGATGCTGATCCTCTCGTCGATCTGTTACCTCGCCGGGAGCCTGGTGATGCTGTGGTCGCCCAACGTCTACATCCTGCTGCTCGCCAGGCTGCTCGACGGGTTCGGGATCGGGCTCTCCGTCACGCTCGTCCCGCTCTACATCTCCGAGACGGCGCCGTCGGAGATCAGGGGCACGCTGAATACTCTGCCGCAGTTCCTGGGATCGGGTGGGATGTTCATGTCGTATATAATGGTGTTCGTCATGTCGCTCCAGGATTCGCCCAATTGGAGAGTGATGCTTGGCGTTCTCGCGATTCCTTCTCTGTCTTTTCTGGCGCTGACGGTGCTCTTCTTGCCGGAATCGCCCCGGTGGCTCGTCAGCAAAGGGAGGTTGGACGAGGCCAAGCTCGTTCTGCAGAGGCTCCGCGGCAGGGACGATGTTGCAGGTAGAAAACTTGTTTTCACTACTTTACCAAATAGAATGCTGTAGCTGTGGTTAATCAATGCCGTCAAAATTGCGATTCTGTGTAGAAGTGTTTTGATGAATTAAAAACTAAATTTTGATTGCAATGTAAGCTTTTAAATTTTAAATCGCAATGTTAATTACACTGGTTGTAATGGTGCAGTTCGATTGCATCTTGATTCATTCCATTGCATCTGTTTTATCATACATCAAGTTGCTTCAATTGTACAACAATGGGTTTTGCTGTTTTAATTACAGGGGAGATGGCTCTGCTTCTGGAAGGACTGGGCGTGGGGAAAGACCCGTCCATAGAAGAATACATAATCGGGCCAGCCAACGACGGGCTTCACGGCGGCGAGCCGCCGGTGGACAAGATGGGAGAAGTCCGATTGTACGGCGCCGAGGAAGGCGTCTCGTGGGTGGCGAAGCCGGTGACCGGACAGAGCACTCTGGGAATTGTGTCACGGCAGGGCAGCATGGCGAACCAGAACATACCCCTAATGGACCCGCTCGTCACTCTGTTCGGAAGCGTCCACGAGAGCAACCTCCCCGGCGGCGGCGGCGGCGGGTCCATGTTCGGAAGCATGCGCGGGAGCATGTTCTTCCCCAGCACCTCCAGCATGCTCAACATGATCACCGGCCCCGGCAATAATCAGGTAGATTAATCCGATTGATTTTTTAAATCAATTAAAATGTCTAGACGACATTTAATTTAGGCCGAAATAATTTTAGGTGTCAAACAGTATAAAATCGGAATCAGGATTTTGACCAAAATTGATCAAATGCAGGGGGAAGAAGAAGGCAATGCCGATCACGATTACTCCGGTAACGATTCAGAGGATAACAAGAGCCCGCTGCTTCAGCCGCGTCAGGGCTCCGACAAGGACTACGCGACGGCTTCGTCGTTGAGGCCGTCGGGGTACGGAAGCAGCATGTTCGGTGGGCAGCGGAACAGCAGCATTTTTGCGGCAGGGGATGAAGGCGGCGGGGTCGGGATTGGAGGAGGGTGGCAGCTGGCATACAAGAAGAAGGAAGGCGGGCTTCAGAGGGTGTATCTTCACGGCGGAGCCGCGGCCGGGTCGAGGAGAGGGTCGATGGTTTCCGGCCTTGGTGGCGCCATGGATGTCGAGGAAATCGGGGCAGGAGAGTTCGTCCCCGCCGCCGCGCTCGTTAGCCAGACCGCGGTTTGCTCCAAGGATGTGCTTGCCGGTGGGAAGCCACAAATTGGAGGACGACGGCCGCCGCAGAAGGAAAGCAAAGCCGCCGGATGCTCCGACCTCTTTGAACCTGGGATCAAGCGTGCTTTGGTAGTCGGAGTTGTGCTCCAGTTTCTTCAGCAGGTAAATAATTATACTAAATCGCAACCCTCACTATGTCTAATTATTTGTTATGTATGTAACGACCTCATTTGTTAATCACATAATATTCGGTCACGGTGATGTGATGCACAGATTTCGGGGATCAATGGAGTATTGTACTACGCTCCCCAGATCCTACAAGAAGCAGGGGTTTCGATTCTACTAGCAAGTCTGGGATTGCGATCGGACTCTGCCTCCATCCTCATCAGCCTTTTCTCCACGATTATAATGCTCCCCTGCATTATGATTTCCATGAGGATCATGGACGTCGCCGGCAGAAGGTAATAACACCCAACTCTCGACAAAACTTCTGCTTAACCGAAACAGAGTAGCCATGTTTTAACCCTCGAGCTTCGTTTCGCGGCGGATTAAAATTGCAGGTCGATCATGCTGTACACGATCCCAATCTTGGTGGTGGCGCTGTTCGCGCTAGTGTTCAGCAGCATAGTGAGCATGGGCGCGGTGCCTAGGGCAATAATCTCGACGGGCGGCGTGGTGGTGTACATGAGCTGTTTCGTGATGGGGTTCGGCGTCATCCCCAACATACTCTGCGCCGAGATCTTCCCCACGGCAGCCAGGGGGCTCTGCATCACGATCTGCGCGCTCACTTACTGGATCATGAACATTGTCGTCACGTATTCGTCGCCGCTGCTGCTCAACAGCCTGGGGCTGGCCGGGGTGTTTACGATCTTTGGGATTGGGTGCATGCTGTCGTGGGTGTTCGTGTTCCTCAAGGTGCCGGAGACGAAAGGGATGCCGTTGGAGGTCATTTCGGAGTTCTTTGCTGCTGGAGCGTCGGTGCTGGATCGCCAGAACTGAGGGGATAGAATAGGAGTTTTGGTTTTGTTTTGTTTGGTGATTGGTCCCTTTTTTCGTTGGTTTGCTTTTGAAGTTGTTTTCTTTGACTCTTATCATTAATTCGTTGATTACATGGTTTGTATTGCGAGGATGTGACCAGGTGCAATAAAAGAAAAGGTTAGAATCATTGATGATTTGGGTCTATATACTCTATACTCTATAGTATTGTTTATGTATCTGGAAACAAGTTAACGTGGAAGTGCTTTACATCCTTGAATTATGACATTTTAAGGGTTAATTTAACTATTGAAAGTGTCATATAATTCGAGATAGAAACAAAAAATAATGAACAATGTCGTTACATACATAGACATTTTTTTTTGGTGAGTAATTACATGGACATTAATATTTACTTACATTCATCTAGGCTAATAGGGATGGCAATGAGCCGGGTACGTGATAGAACCTGGGATTAGGGCTCTATCGGGAAGTGGGGATTTAGGGATAGAGAACAGAATTAGGGATTTGAGAAAGATAGATAGAGAATCGGCCTAGGCCTTTAGAGGGATTGGGAACGAGAATTGAGAGGATTGGGAGAATAGGGTTTAGGAAAGGGATTCTTAATATTCTTCTTGACTGATTATGAATGAAAGACCAATTACATATTTATAGCAAAAGACTAGAAAAACCTAATAGACTATCCTAATATGACTCAATGACTACTACCATATCTAATAATATCCTATTAATATTGATAATTATGGTTAACCTAAAAAATAGGTTTCCATCATCCCCTTCCCCTTGAAAACCAACCTTGTCCTCAAGGTTGACCACCTCGACCCATTTCGTCACGTCGTCCGGCGGATTCCTCTCTGCCTGCGCTTCACGGCGGCGGTGGATTCCGACTCCAAGATCCGGCTTCCACTTCTTCTTCTTCTTCCTCTTCCTCGGCAAGTATAGAGTCTCTCCGTCGTCATCATCGTCCTCGTTCTTCTTCTCGTTCTCCCGCGACGCGCGACGAAGCTTCCCGCCTGATTCTGTCCTCATCCCTAGCCTTGTATCCTCAGCGGTCATCATCTGGCAGGAGAAAGAGACATCGACGCCGCCGTTCTTCTCCTTCCTCGATTTCCCTGAAGGCGAGCAGCTCGCCATCGCCTTCATCTTCCTCGTCGGAGCTTCTGTCCTTGGCGTTCTCTTCCTCGGCAATTCTTTCTCCGACGACGAGGTCGTCAGGCAGCCAACTCTTCTCGTCGTCTCTCTCTCTTCTTCACGACTCGTCGATGAACCGCCCAGCTGGTAGTTGGGGCGCAAACCTGGGGCCGAGATGCTCGACGGCCGGGCCGTCTTCCCGTCCTTCGTCGCGGTGAGGACCAGCGGCTGCTGCTCCTCTGTCGCGTCTCCGGCGCCGGACCATACGCCGTCGTATGGGAGAAGGAAATCGTAGCCGCCCCCGTCTTCCTTCGTCTCGACCCCCAGCAGCGACCCGTCCATCTCCGTCGCCTCCCCCGGCGGCTCAACTTCTTCCTCCGACAGCGAGAAGATCGGCGACCATCCTGCCGCCTGGTTCCCTGCGCCTCCCAGCTCCAGCGCCACCACCGGCGCAGCCGCCGCGGCCAACCCGCCGGACGCTGCCACCACCTCCCCGACCGCCGGTCCTCCGCGCGGCGTTGTCACCCGCGCCTGCACGCGCGGCCCGCCAGCTGCCTCCGCGGGCCAGTCCTCCTCGCACGCCTCAACTTCCCGGTTGGCGCAGAAAGCGTCAATCCGCTGCAGCTAGGGGTGGCTATACGGTCCGGTCCGGTTAAATTGGCCCAAATTGATCCGGTCCAGTCCGGTCTTTTTGAAGATATAAGGACCGAAGATTGGATTGGATACAGTCCGGTCTTGATCCGGTCCGGTTTTGATCCGGTCCGGTCCCAATTCGGTCTTGATTTTACATTGAGATTGTGGGATTTGAGTGGCCTAAGGCCTTAAAGGGTGAGGAGTTGGTTAAGTTTTGTACTAAGTGCAAAGGTTTGTGACCGTTTATGCAAATTACCTTTAAGTTTTGGGTGTTGAGCTCTCTTATCCGGTCTTTATCCGGTTTTTTACCTCAAATCTAAGCCCAAAGATTGGATTGGATTGTTTACTATCCGGTTCCGGTCCGGTCTCGGTCCGGGTTATACGGTCCGGTTTCCGGTTTTTAATCCGGTCCCGGTCCAAATAGCCACCCCTAGCTGCAGCAGCCGTGTCCAAGAGGGATCAGAGAGCCTAGCAGAGCTCATGTTGGCTCTGATACCAAATGATAGAACCTGGGATTAGGGCTCTATCGGGAAGTGGGGATTTAGGGATAGAGAACAGAATTAGGGATTTGAGAAAGATAGATAGAGAATCGGCCTAGGCCTTTAGAGGGATTGGGAACGAGAATTGAGAGGATTGGGAGAATAGGGTTTAGGAAAGGGATTCTTAATATTCTTCTTGACTGATTATGAATGAAAGACCAATTACATATTTATAGCAAAAGACTAGAAAAACCTAATAGACTATCCTAATATGACTCAATGACTACTACCATATCTAATAATATCCTATTAATATTGATAATTATGGTTAACCTAAACAATAGGTTTCCATCAGTACGGTGCGGATACCCTATATCCATTGCCCACAATTTAAGCCCGCGGGTATTACCCGCACCCGACCCACTATGTTTTATGGGCACAAAATCTGTCCCAAGCCCAAGTCCATGTGGGTACGGATGAACCCGCGGGTCACTGGATGCCCGAATTCTTCAAAAAACACAGTTACAAAAGATCAAATCCAAGGCAATAACTAAAATGAAAATGAACTGAAAACAAACATTTATAGCATTCAACCTTGTTCCATGAACTAGCAAACCCAGAACTTGCAAACTCAACAACTAAGAACTTAACTCAGTGAACCGAGAACCCCCCACGAACCCAAACAGTGTAACAAAATCCCAGAAACTACAGTACTACACCACAAATGAACATGTGGCAGTTCAACACAAAATCAAACCTATAGCTAGTAGAGAAAGTACTAAGCATCAACAATCTTTCTTCCATCAGAAAACTGGCAATTCGTCTTCCATCAGCATAACAACAATGTCAGCAGATCAGCAGAGCAGCAGGCAGCAACAACATTATTTGTAACGCATCAGCAATACAAAATTGAATCAGCAGACCAAGAATGCATCATTCACCAGCAAACCAAGAATTCATCATTCACCATTAATTGTAATTCACCAACTAATGGCTAATGGACACTATTCTGCAATTAGACAGTATAAACATGTTTTCAGAATTTAACTAAGTAGCAAGCATTAGTTGGGAAATGTTAGAAGTTCGATTACAAACCTAGAACTAGACAACTAGTCTAGAAGGTTCACGACAGGATCATCTTCATCTCCTCCCATCTAGGACGACACTTTAGCTCCATCTATCACAAAAACAAACAGTTTAGTAAATTCCCAAACCCGATTAACAGTTAAAGAAATTCAAAGAGGCTTACATGTGTTCTCTTCTATCGTTACATCATCCATTGCCACTGCCGAGAACACCTCCTCCAGCGCTTTCACTTCCGAGGCAAACACTACCAAAGAATGCAAGAATTAGTCAACTTCGAAAGAAATAATGAAATAGAAAGAAACCATGACAAGAACTAAGGAAGCATATTACCTTTGCTATCATCCTGAATCCAGGTCCTTAATATCATCATGGCTTCTATTGTTTTAGGATCAAGTATGCTCCGATGGGGGATCAAGAAGCCTCCCACCAGAACTAAATGCAGATTCTAATGCAACACTCGTAAGAGGTACAACAAGTAAATCCCTTGCAATTTTTTGCAAAATGGGATACTTGGCACCATTGAATTTCCACCAACCCAACAAATCGAAGTCTGGTGTTCTAGGATGAACATACTCAGCTAGATAGTGATCTAACTCGATAGTAACCACAGTTGTTCTAGTTTTCTTTCTTTGGCTCACATATAGATCAAAATCCAGATCAGTGGCCGAAGAACAAGGATGCAAACTAGAAGAAACATGCGAGTTTTTGGAGGATTTCCTTTGGTATTCAACAACCAAGTCAGCAAGCATAGTTCTCATCCTTTCAGAAACAAGATCTGTATTGGTAATACCAAATTTACCAGCATAGTACTCAACAATTTCCAATTTGTAATGTGGATCCAACACAACAGCCACGACCAACAACAAATGAATATCATCCCAATATTTGGCAAACTAATTCCACATATTCTCAGCCATAGAAACAATCATAAGATTAGGGTCACTTAACCATTCCAACAATCGTAACCTCAAGTGTTGATTCGCTGTTGGGTAGTTTGAACCAGAAAAAACCAAAGTTATGTCCTTGAAAACATTAAGTTTGTCAACCAAAACAGCAGCAAACTCCCACTGCTCGTTGGTAGGAACAGATTCATATTGAGCCTCCCTTATTTTCAATATTTCAAACACCTCCTTATAAGGGATAACAGCAGAAAGCATCTCATAGGTGGAATTCCACCGAGTGGGACAATCTGAAACCAATTTCTTAGAAACAAGTAGTTTTAGTTGTTGGGCAGTTGCATGGAAAGACTCCACCCTCCTAGGTGTGCATGTCCAAAAGACCATAGTCTCCCTAATTTGCTCAATTCCATCTTTCAGAACATCAAGACCATCCCTCACAATCAAATTAAGGATGTGAGCAGAGCACCTCATATGAAGAAGTGTCCCATTCCTAATTAGATTAGACAAAACCAGCATTTTTTCACTAGATTGATCATTGAATCATTGGTAGTACAATTGTCAAGTGTAATTGTTGACAATTTACTATCAATGTTCCAAGATTGGAGGCATTCAGCTAGCTTTACAGCCAGCCTCTCACTAGTGTGTGGGGCAGGGAGGTAACCAAACATTAAAAGATGGTTTCTCAACTTCCAAAAGTTGTCGATATAGTGGGCAGTCACAGCCACGTAAGCCTGTTTTTGGTTTGTGGCAGTCCACATGTCAGTGGTGACAACTATCCTCCCTATATTTTCGTCAAGAACCTTTTGAATCTTAGACCTCTCTAAACCATAAATAGTCACTATGTCCTTCTTTATGGTATTTCTGGTTGGGACTTTAAAGAGAGGGTTCAAGGTGCAGCAAATCCGTTTGAAATAAAGGTGCTCAACAACAGAAAGGGGATACTCATGCACCAAGATCATGGTGCAGAGCTCCTTTCTAGACACCTCACTACTAAATTGATTGGTACTCATATCAGCTGTTCCATTGGCACTATAGTTAGCACCAAGAACCTTTTGACTCCCATCGTAAATTTTTTTATGAACACATTTGTTTCTGTGAGTCCTAAGATGTGAAGTACCATTACTAGATTTCCCAACCAACACCTTCTTACAGTAGTTGCATTTAGCTTTCAATACCCCAGAAACCATCATCCTATTGAAGTGAGGCCAGATATCAGATTTTAATCCCATACTAGCACCTAAGGGATATTGAGGAAGAACATCTTCCTCAACATTATTAGTATTACCAGGAGGAGGGGCAACAACATCATTAGCAGGTGGATTCTCAACGTGTTGGGGTTCCATCTGTCTAAGAGGAAGAAATAAAAAAAATGCTTTAGAAATATGACTATTGTCTAGTTGTATTACTTTGTTCGAGTTCTTTAAGATTACATATTAGAAGTTTACTGGATTTGGAGTTTATTGTATTCAACTTAATTAAAACGGATTAGCACTTTAGCATTGAGCATATTAGTAGATTCGAGTAGCATTACAACTGACAAGCAGATTACATATTACCCTTTTCAGATGAGAGAATAGAGATTAGCATTCAACAGATTACTAATTAGCATTCAAGTATTCAACATCATTACTAATTAGCATTCAAGTATTCAACTATTTAAAATAGATTAGCACTTTAGCATTGAGCAGATTACTAGCCATAATATTGTGGTCTTTAGTGGGATTGAGCAACTTTATTGAGACCGCCCAGACTGTTAATTTTAGTCTATGTTGGCGACATGTCATGGTCTCCGAGACCTCCCCATTCCACATTCTCCAAGGCGTTTGTTTACTTTGGAGAATCTGGAAGTCTAGAAATGAAGTGACCTTTGAATTTACCCAACCCCATGTCCGTTCCTTAGCCAGACAGTTCTTCATCCAGGTCCTCGAAATTTCCAGTCTCCTTCCCCCCCCCCCCCTCCTCCCCGCAGCTCTCTACTCCCAAACATTTCAGCCACCTATTGGGTCCCTCCACCAGAAGGCTATTTGAAGATCAACGTCGACGCAGTTGTTAGCGCCTCCGGGTGTTCGACTGGGCTTGTTATCCATGGCTCAGACGGGCATGTTAGGTTGGCGGTCGGGTTGCAGCATCAAGGAATAGTCAACCCTTATCTAGCTGAACTTCAAGCTTTCAGGGATGCTATCTCCTTTGCAGCTTCAAGATACTTGTCCCACGTGATAGTCGAAGGCGACTCCGATGTGGTGGTCAACCAAGTCCGTCAAGGCGTCTTAGAAGATTCGATTGGAGGTCCGATGTTACGAGAGTGTATCCAAATCCTTAGCTCTTTGTCTGTTTGTATAGAGTTTAGGGCGGTACCTAGATCCGCCAACAGTGCTGCCCATAGAGTGGCGCGTAAAGCACTGCTTTTGTCTCTTGTAGAGCTAGAATCTTTTGATTTCTTGGGGGTGGCTTCAGTAGAGCCTTTTAGGGGTCCTGGATAGAATTGTAAGGTTAACTATTATTTCTCATTGATATCACTCAGAAATAAATAAAAGACAAGCAGATTATATATTACCCTTTTTCATATTAGAGATTAGCATTCAACATATTACTAATTAGCATTCAAGTATTCAACAACATTCAGCAGATTATAAATTACCATCTATCATATTACATTTTCGAACTTAAGTACTTAACAGTTTAGATGTGCTCAGTACTTAAGTTTAGCATATACAAAATTAGGATTACCAGTTTTGAACTTACAATCATAAATTGACCAGTTAAGCTACTAAGACTAATGATCGATTGACCAGTTTAGCACATTACAGATTTCACCCTTTGGTTTACTTACAACATAATCAATTTGACAGGTTAAGGTTTAGCTACGAACAACCAACAACAAGGTAGGGTCGACCACTTACCTAAGCAGACTGCAGTTTAAGCACCAGCTGCTTGATGAGATTCCTGAACATAAAGGAGAAATCTGCACAAACACAAGCAAGCAAAATTAGTGTTTGTGAGTCAGGTTTAACTACGAACAACCAACAACATGCTAGGTCGACAACTTACCTAAGCAGATTGCAGTTTAAGTACCACCTGCTTGATGAAATACCAGCACAGAAAGGAGAAATCTGCAAAAACAGAGAAGCAGGCAAAATTAGTGTTTTCTATTCTGAAAGACTAAGCAAGCACTCGCAACAAATCATATAATGAACTACAGTATGCTAAACTTACTGAGAATGACAGACAAGCAGTTGGATTCCAAATCTGGAAGGCTAGGGTTTATGGAATTAGGGTTCGAAGAACTACAGATGTACAAAACGAAGAAGTGAGACTCCTATTTATACACGTTTAAGCAAAAATCAATTAAGGAAAGAAAGAATTGAATACTTTCTTTCTCGATCGGGGAAAGAACTCGTCTGCATGCACGATTCGGAGGCGATTTGCGTCGGTTGAGACATTTTAGGTGATTGAGGGCTTGATTAAAGACTAGCTTTGGGGTTATTAGCGATGGGATCGTCGATTTACTAGGGATTTCAGTAGAGAAATGGGGAGAAATCATCGGAATCGCAGAGATTTGGCAGAAATCGGCGAGTCGCCTTGACAGATTTCAGAGAAAATCGGGGATGAGGGTGGCTGGGTGTTTGCGAAAATGAAGTTTCCATACCCTAACTCTAAAATCGCCATTTATATATGTTGTACAAAACGGCGCCGTTTTGTTATTCGGGGCGGATACGGGGCGGGGATCTCTGAATCCGTCCCCAGTCCGTCACCAAAATCCACGGGTCACGAGTATACCCGACACCGCCTGAAAGCCCGTTTTCGCGGGTTTAAGCCCATCACTGGCGGCGGCGGGCCCTTGCCATCCCTATAGGCTAATGTCTTAAATTTAAGGGCCCGTTTAGTATAGTTTTGTTGTTGTTGTGGTTGTAGTATGGTTGTGTAACACAAGAGAAACCACAACAACATAAAAATAGAAAACAAAAATATGTTTAGTTGGTAATTATGACATATCATAGAAATCGACAACAAAAAACAGAAACGCGTTTAGTTCTTTGTAACGAAAAATCATAAGAACATTTCTCAATATACAGCAAAGGAAACATGGATTGAGCTGTTGAGCAGGGGAGGCCCGGCGACGACTGTTGAGTAGGGGAGGGGAGTTCGCGGCGGCGGCTGTTGAGCAGGGGAGGGGAGGTCGCGGCGGCGGCGGGTCGGAGGGCGGAGGCGGCGGGTTGGGAGGCGCGGAGGCGGAGGGTCAGGAGGTCGGAGGGTCGGGAGGGCGGAGGTGGCCGGCGTGGAGTGGGGAGAAGGCGTCGGCGTGTATGGCTGGAGGGGAGAGCGGCGCCTGTGTTTGAGACAAAATTGGAGAGGTTGGGGGCAGCTGAAGTAGGGTTTGGGGGTGGTGTTAAAAAAAAAATTGCTTCTGTGGGGATTCGAAAACTGGTCTGTTTTAATGAAATCAAACGCCCAACCAGTAAGAATCTTGTGTGCAACATGTTTAAGAATCATATCCAAAGCTATAAATTGTTGTTTCTCATATTTGAGCCTTGTTGTGCAACTCTGATTCACAACAAAAAATAAAAACCCAACTAAACACGATATTTTTCTTGGTTTTCCAAATTTTTTAAAACACAACAGGAAACAAAAACAAGCAACAATACTAAACGGGTCCTAAAAAATGAAATGGAAGAACTTAAAAAAAAAAAACTGAAATGGAAGCCCAGCCCAGATGCACTTTAAAAGCTAGTGACTGGGCCTGTAGCATTAGTTCCTCTAGCCCAGAGCCCAGAACTCGCTTGGCAGACACAGCCGGCAGAGTTGGGCCAGATCTGCCGATCTTCTCCGCTGTGCCGCCTGTGCCTGTGCTGTGCTGTGCTGTGCTTTGTTCTTTCCTTTTCCTTTTTTCCCTTTTTTCCCCATCTTCTTCCTTGATTTGTCTTGCCGGAAAAGTGGACTGGTTATTTTGCTCGAGCTCACTGTTTGACGAAGAAGCAGCTGAAAGGAGAAGGTAAAAGAAAGCTAATGGCAGGCGAAGAAGTAGTACCAGAACCGAGTATGTCTTCGCCATCGCTGGAGGACAGGCCTGGAATCCTGATCATCGGTCCTTCCGCCGTCGGCAAACGCACCCTCCTCTCCCGTAATACTCTCTCACTCCCACTCTGTTTCCATTTCTCCGGCGCTTTGTTCATCGCCGCATAATCTGTAACAATTACTTCTTCCGCCGCAGGTTTGCTTTCGCTGGATCTCGAAGATGATCCCGATCCCGATTCCGATTCACAATTACTCATCCGCGGGTCAGTACTCCCTCTTAATCCCTCTTCAAATCTTCCCCTCTTTGGAATCCTAGGGTGAAATTTTTCGTCTCTTGGCGCCAACAGGTGGACAATCAACACTAAGTACTACTCCGCCGATGTATCCGTATGGGTTACTCATCTCACCGACGGATTCCGAATCGAGAACCTCCCGTCTCGCCGCCGATTGGCCGCCGTCATCATGGTTTTCGACGCTACTGATGTCAGTCTTCTTTTCCCCTTCCATTTCAATTGGGCTGTTCGTTCAGCATCTATTTGCTATCTTAATCTCGTTTTTGTGCAGCTCTCGTCGCTTGCTGCAGTTCAGGAATGGGTATCTCGCACCGATATCCACGAGTACGAGATACTGTTATGCGTAGGGAACAAAGTGGATCTTGTTCCGGGCCATCCAGTCCACCAAGAATACAGAAGGCGGTTGCTGCGGCGGCAGCAAAAGCTCGAGCTTGAGCAGTGTGCATCTGATGAGTTTGGAATCTCTGAAACAGAAGGTGCCAATTTGTTAGGCAACAATGTAGAAGAAGAAGAAGAAGAGGTAGTAGAAGAAGAAGATCAGTCGTTTCAGATCAGAAGGTCATGTATTGAGTGGTGCACTGATCGGAATATTGAGTACATTGAAGCTTGCGCTTCCAATCCCGAATTCGACAAATGTGAGTAAAGCTCTGTCCTTTGCTCTTTAGGCTTCAGTGACGAAATTGATCTAAAGAACAGATTCGTTAGTGGCACCTGTGTCATTTAAGTGGCAGAAGCTTTGTGGAAAATGTAGATTTAAATCAAGGTTCTTTTGCTGCCAAAAGAATAGTAATAAGCTTATAATCTTCACAGGTCTGTCTGTTGATGGCGATAGTCAAGGGATGGAACGAATCTTTGGTGCACTTTCTGCTCATATGTGGCCTGGAATGGTTTTGAAATCTGGAAATAAAATGGCTGAACAACCAATACCTGAGGAAGAAGGTTCTTTTACCTGCTCCTTTGCCATTTATTTACTGTGCTGCTATCGATGCTTTTTGTGCTAACTGGTTTGTGTGCAAGATGCAGACTTATCGGAGGAGTCGGATTACGAATTAGAATACGAGGTGCTATCCGCAGGTTCTGCAGAACCGTGGGATGATACCAGATGGGTTTCTGCCAGCACTACGACTTCCACTCCTAGTGAAGGGGAATCTAATGCACACGAAAAACATGTTGTTGCCGGACTTAGCAATGGGAACAAAGAAAGTTCTAGTACTGCATCAAATGCTGGAGGTGTCATGGGGACTCACCCTGAGGACGGAGAACAGGGTTATGAAGGAAATCTGCTGTCGTCGTCTGCTCAAAGAGAGGAATCATCAGAGGACGACAAAGGAGCAGTGCGAAATGCTGAAGTATCGGAAGCAAATGGTGAGGTTGAACCATTCGACTTTGAGGACTTGGAAAAGCTGATGTTTGAAATCGGTAACATAAGGGATGGGTTAAGATTGATGCCTGATGTACAGAGAAGGGAAATGGCTGCAAATCTGGCAATGAAAATGGCTTCCATGTTTGGAGGCGGCAGTGATGATGAGGAGCCTGATGGATTTGAATAATTTCATTAATTTCAAGCTGTAGGTGAAAAGAGATTTGTAAAGTTATGTGCTTCAATTTTCAGATTTTCTCCCTGGTATCGCATCTCTGAGTTGATGAACAAGCTACTGAATCATTATATGACGGTTTTTACGGGTTTGATAATACTTATAAACGGAAGTGCACGCATGCCACTAGCGTAGCATGTGCTTCATTTTTCTCATGGCACTGACTGACATTCTTCTCGTACAGTTGCTTCATGATTGCACCTCCAGTCTGTTGGTGGTTCTTCGTAGTCTTTTTGATCGACAATGAAATTGAGTGAATTGACTCGATTTGAGCACATTATTCCTCAACTAATTCTCAATAGGAATTTGATTTGGCGAGTTGACACACATGTATCGCCAAAGATATAGGAATGAACAGAATTTACATCTCACACGCTGCTAGCTGAAGATATAGCATCATTTATGGTTGTTTAAAGGAAACAGCCGGCTTCACAAAGCTGAAATCCTCCTCATTCCCATTACTACTTTCCTCCCCGGCACGATGATGGTGGGGGAGGGATTCATCCATCAAATTTCCAGCTCCAGAAATAGGAATCCGATCATCCAACTCCTCAGCTTCTTCCCCACCTTCATGATCCCTCTTGGTTCCTTCAATCAAACTCATCTGAACGATGGATGATGAAGGAGCAGGGGACAACGCCTCGGTTTCCATGTCCGACAGCTCATCATCATCGCGGTAAGCGTAGTAAGCCCGTGTAGAGTGGCCAGTGGTCTTGAAACGGTGCAATGTGTGGCCAGATGAGCCGGTGGAGAGCAAAGTTCTGGCAGTGGAGGAGCCATCTGCTGTCACAGACATCGGGCTTGTATCTCCACCGCCCAGAGTTCTGACTGATAAAGACGACTTCGAGCCTCTTCCTGCTGCCTTCTTCTTCTTCACGGCCATGTGCCACTTCTTCAAAGCCTTGGATGTATGCTCATCGAACACTGCTTTCTTCATGTTGGAACCCATCTGTGGAAAAAAAAATGCATTTGGCCATTGTATGTGAATTACTGTTCACGGTAAAAATTAAGTTGATGAGAATGTTTTACTAAAGTACTAGGCACCTGAGTCACGAGTGCATGAAGGGGCAGCGTGATGTAACTGCAAAGGAGTAGGACACCAACACTGCAGAAGCAAGAGGCACAAAGCAATGCTAGTGGAATTAGATGTAAAAAAGAAGAAATATCACCAAAGATGACCAAAATTTATGAAGAAATACCTACCCGATGCTGACTTTGACGATGGCAAGCGTGAAATTAGCATGGAAGCACGATTTCATGCCAAATGCATACTGCAATGTACACATACAAATGGTCAACTATGAGCATGTATGTCATCTATCGACTAATGCAGAGCTAGAAAAGGAAAGTCCATTTACCCATATCCACAGGAAATATGTTATCTGGAAAGCATTCTGCAGGATCCGAAGAGAAGAGACGGTCAATAGTAGAAGAAGTAAGTGGAAATGACAGGTAAGTGCAAACATATATGTAATGTGATTAGATTCAAATGACAATTGTTACTAAGTTTTTTGTAGTTATACATGTGGTGTAAGAGTTACCTGAAATAAAGCAAAGTGGATTAGATGAAGAACTAACTGGGGGCGACCAAACCAAAAGTATTTATCTGACCCTTGCACAAGAGGTATTCCTTGCACTACTGCATGCCTGTCTGAGATGTCGATTGCCATCTTCGTCAAAATGGACTGAAGCTCCGTTCCAACTGCTAAGATTATCTGCAGCAAGACATCTTAAAATGTTCAGATCTTTATAATCATAAAAAACATCAGCTTTCTTTCTTAGCATTTGAAAGATAACACTTTTTTTTCCTAGTCCCTTACAATGACGGGAATTATGGATGCCCAAAAGAGTGCTCGCCAACCTGAAACCATAACCAAACCCAGTCACTTACTGCAAATAAACTATGCTTTCAAATTCTTTGGACAAGAACCACTGCAAGCATAGACTTACCGTTAACATTCACAAGCAGGAAAACCACAAAAGACGCCCACAATACAGGACTGTCAATCGCATTCAAATGAATTCAGTTATTAATCCAATTCTATACTCTCCTATCCAAGGCAACTGTCGAGAAAAGAAATAATTTATCATGACTACTATATAAAAAGGACATGCTACCTCACTCCGACCACTAGTTTGAAATCATCCTCCAACGACCTCTTGATGTACTTCTGGAAATTGAACTTACTTCCCGGAGCTAGGTGCACCTATTGCAATGAACAAAACCCACTGTCATAAGGAAAGAGGGGATTGATATCTAGCTAAGTTCCCAACTTAAAGAGAAGTTGGCTATAAGGTTAAGCCAAGGGATATAAACGACTTACGGAGATGAACCCATTGCGCAATGTCATGTAGTCAGACTTACTAACAGATCTGAAGAACTGCCTACAGAAGCATCCCTGCAGTGGCCAGAAACATATAGTCTTTTATTCTTGTGTAATCAATTTGTTTCCCAAAGATTAGAGCATCATCTTCATCTATTTTACAAATAAAAATGAAAGTTTGTGTACATGAAATAAAGTATGGTTAGTATGATCTTACAAAATAAAAAGGTATGATCTTACAAAATAAAAGAAGACTGGAATCTTTGTCCAGAAACTGGTATGTGCTCTCACGAATGATGTCTCATGGGTAAGCCGGAACCTTGAAGGATCTGTTAACAAGAGCATGTTGCATGAGAAACCAAATGTAAAGTGGTTTTCCAAAAACATACAACAACAGAAACATCAACACGGAGTTTAGCATAGAAAGTTTGACCAAACTACCATTAGAGAACTCATAATCATGGGAGGAAGTTTCTTGCTCCCACTCCTTCCAGCCACGAATCTGGGACATTAACAAATCAACAATCAATCAAGTTTCCTAGAGAACTTATGCAAAAGATGAAGTAAAGGGAATTTCTCATGAATTCAGAAGCAGAAAGTCATATCTACAGAAGTATGTATGCACAATGGAATGAAGACAATAAGCCGTAATATACCTTCAGTCTCCCGAGCATCATGGTTACAAAACTATAGATCACATGAAAGACGGCTAAGAAGAAAATGAGGATGTGCAGTTGATGCAGTCCATTGGCTGATATAAGTGGTACATGCCCCTGTTGAGAAGAGTCACATCAGTAAGATACACATTATAGACTTGTAAAGTTGAATAGAATGGCCATTAGAAATTCTGAGTAGTTTGACTAATCTCATTCAACTTGACCATCTACTCAAAATTTACCAAAAACCCTGAACTTGACTGGTCAATGTCCAAACCAGGTCATGATCCCTTCCTCATAAGTCTCAAACTACATACACTCACCAATTGTCTAACTTGATGGAAACCATCTCTCGGTTTAGTAAGAACGAAATACAACAGCAACACACAATGGATTCTTTTTAGGAGGCACGCTATGAACGATGAGCATTTCAGCTAACCAAAACCTACAGACGACTTATAGTCGACCACAGTCAAAACCAACTAACTCATCACTAGTCATGAGGGCAAGAATTGCAACACAGACCTCCTTGCACTTTGTTGCAGAGTCTGCACCAGCTAACATTCTGTGTTCAAACCACAACAGTCTCCGACGATGTTCCTCCTCCGTATCAGTTTTGTGCTCACCTTCATAAGGACATGGCAGCATCGAATTTGCCACGTCTTCGGAAACACAAATCTTCAAGAAGTAGTTCTGACCAAAAGTCAGCAGCAATGAAATGAAACCCAGAACCATAAGCTCTGCAACAACCAAAACCCAACAATTGCTTAAAACCCTGTAGTAAAGGTTCCAACTTTATGAAGCCCGCAGTACAATTCAGAGAACCCACCAGCCTTAACCTTCTCCAAGGCCTCGAATAGAGCTCTCTTGTGCCTTTCTGTAAACCACTGCAATTTTAATCAAGTTAGAAGCTATCGCAGAATTCAAGCACAAAATACAGAAGCTTATCGTGTACATACCGAGCCAAGTTTGTGAAGAAGCTTCTCAAGGAGGATAGAGATTATGACGATAACAGCACAGACACCGGCGACGGCCCAAGTCGGAGTCTGATTCAGCTCCCTCTCAGGCCCGCATGCGGTAGCCGCCGTAACCAGCGCAATTCCGCCGCCGTGGGCAAGCCATAAACACAGACTGACCCACACCAACTTCATGCCGAGAATCGCAAACAGGGGAATGGTTGATTGATGAATAGTAGGCAAAGGCAAGAAAGGAAAACTTTATAGAAGGAGAGATCAAGCCGGACAAAATCAATCAAGAGTTGGGTTGGCTGTTTGTTGCTTTGGTAGGGAACAAGAAGAAGAAAGAATCATCTGCAAAAAAGGCAATGAAACAGCGGTCGGGAAGAAGCCTGTGGCTGCAGCTTTCGTTTTCCCCAAAACACCTACCATTACCAACGCCATGGCGCAAGGAGAATTAGATTAAACAAAAGGGTATAATGGAATTCCCCCTTCCGTTTGCATATCTACACACGAGTCCAATTGCCATTAACAAATGATATACAATCCAAAATGACAGGGGAGATGAGATGGGATAGCCACTAACCAGTCCAGTAAAGCGAGCAGCAGCAGCAGCAGCAGCAGCGGCTCCAATGATTCTGCTCTGCAAATGGATGACGAAGCATGGACCAAAGCGAATTTCTGTACCTTTTTGCACTCTGCTTTTCCTTCGGTCTTTTGTTTTCTTCCGGCAGTTTTCGTTTTATTAAAAGGGGTTTCTTTCCTTTTGGGTCAATGCTTTTATTAATGTTGGTGAGCAGTTTAAAAAAAAAACGAAATGTTAATACGGTTTTGAAACTGGGAAGCTACTTTTCACCTGGGTGGGTGAGCAATGAGCATGTGAACAAGATGGCTAGTTTGGGGAACAAAGAAAAGGACTGGCAGCCTTGATTGGCGCCACAATTCTGTGTTTAACGGTATCATCATTCTCTACGCGGATTTCATTTCGCTTACATGTCCCCGGCCGGACAATTACTCTGCTGAGCTATTCTAAGCTTGAAATGCTTGATCGTGACTTGGAGACATGAAAATGAGACACAACACAAGTGCTATTTTGCCAAACGTTGTTGACCGGCGCCAACCCCATGCGACCCGACCTTCATCATGTCATTTCTAACCTCCGTCGGTTTAGAGCATAGCTGTTAAATCAGATTAAACCACTGGCGGATTCAGGGGGTGGCCACCCCAGGCCCCGGCCCAGCCTTCCTCTGGATCCGTAGTTACTATAGTCCTTATGAAATTTTTGATTTTAGACATTCGACCTAGTGTTATTCTATGATAAGATTGGGTTTAACTAGAAAAATTATCAAGTTGAACATATTCAAATCACTATTCTAAATTTAGCCTAGAAATTTGAGCCCCAAAGATTATACGTCTTAAAAAAACAATGAAACCTAAAAATCTAAAAAGTTTAAAACGTAAAAGACTAAAAGAAATATGAGGTTTGTTCCCTTACAAATTTACTAAAGCAGCTGGTGTGCAGGGATGGACACACAATGCAAATTGATTAGTCGATTGATTTATCTAGTGTTGATGCTGCTCTTTTCAACAGCTACTACGAAGAGAATCTTTTTAACAATGAAACATGTGAGAACTGATTTGCTCAACAAAATGAACGATGGATTTCTCGCCGATTGCTCAAGTATTTTATTTGAAATAGTATATACTATTGGTATGGATGTAGACTTCATTATTGATGCATTCCCTAAATTAAAATACAGTCGTGTACAATTTATATTGCAAAAAACTAATAAACTATAATCATTATATTTTTTTACGGTTCTAATTTTCTAGTGAAATGCGGCCTAGTGCTCTTCTGTGTTCTGGATCCGCCGCTGGATTAAACCATCAAGTTAGTTTGACTAGTGGTTTGAGATTTAATGGTCGGATCTTGTTCAACCAATTTAAGTTGATTTTAACATGATATGTTAGAAAATCTCTAATATCATATAAGTTATGCATATATTTGACATATTTTAAACAATGTCACTAATTTATATTCATATATTACCAAATTATTTCTTCATAAGACATATATATTACAAAATTATCAATCATCATCTTCGAACCCGGTTTTGACTGGCCAGACCATCCGGTTTAACCCAATTTTAACTGGTTTAATTGAGTGAAATTAGTTTAAAGATGAAGTCTTTCACTTATCTAAAATATCCTTGGGCGAAAATATGATGTAACATAAGCAAAAATAGGAGAAATACAATTAAACATTGAGACAAATCAAGGTAAAACGGGTCAAGAACCGGGGGGACGGAAGCCGTACTCATGCCCCAACGTGCCAAGTTGGATAATCCCCGACGGGGCGGGTTGACATTGCCATCACTACTTTCCACCCAAATCAAGGGGAAATTTTGAACTCGTTACAAGAATGATTCAATAAGATTTCGAAATTGAATCCGGTCAACTGGTGATGAGTTCGTGTGGGCTTGACGAGCAACCCTATGAGCCAAAATGTTGTGACGACAGAGCATAAACTCAACTTTGATCCACGAGACTAAGCGAAGAAGGGAGATCATACACACAAAAGTTGCTCAACATTGTCATGACCATTTGTTCATGAGGTGTTTTGGCTCTAAGTAAGCACTTAACAATCTGTACATACGCAAGTAGCAATATCCTCATGGACTACGATCTTGAGAGCATTCAAAAGTCCAAAAGCTTTCGCTTCAATTGGATGGGAACAAAAGAATGTCTTGATCTTCCAGTCATACACCTGATCATGGAAATTAATTATAGTTATCCGTGCGTGGTGCTAGATGGCCCATGTCCGGATAGAGCATCTGTTTATGTCCTTGAAAGTGGGGTTTGCTCTAGAATTAGCACCTGGCCATGGCCGCTGGGGCCTGGGAACATCGAGTAGGCTAACCTCCACATATTTGGCTTTGTTACTATCTAGTAGCGTTGGGTTGAGTGTTTGTTGCTTTGGGTGGAGAAGTAGGGATCAAAGTTCGTGCGGTAGAACAGATTAAAGAAAAGGAAGGCATGCACAAGGGAGGGGTTAGCTTAACAATCCCGCTAAGGGGGTCTGATTTTCGACACCCATTCTCTTTACCGTCCATTCTCACTGGTGTTAATCTAATGGTAAAAAGTTCACAGTTGCTAATTGGTAATTAATATCCCAGCATACATTGGAAAGGGAAAAAGCGATTCCCGTGCATAATTTCAAATTAATTACCCCTTCCCCTTTTTATCTCACTGTTTCGTCTCCTGCTGTCTCTCTTTCAATAAACTAGAAACCCCCTGTCTACAAGTACAATCCCCGTCGTAACCCATCCCTGCAGTAACATCTAGTCATTCTCCCCGTCCCCATCGCCCCCCGGAAGCCCCTCCCCTCCACGACATCTCTCATCCTGCCGACCTTACAACAATGCTCGGCTCATCCCTCCCGTCGACCGTCCTCCGTCTACCATCCTAAATCCTCACATTCCACCGGCTTGCTCTTATCCACGGCTACGCTTGATCGTTTCCTGTCGACCATCGTCCATCCGCGGCAGAGCTTCGAATGACGCTAAGTGGCGGCGACAGGATTTGTTGAAGGTGAGGGGTTTCTGCTTGAACCACCACAATTCAGCGATTTATTCATCTTTTTCATTATAGTGTGTCACTGGAGTGCCATAGTATGGCTAATAATTGTATCACTTTAGTGATAGTTATGTATCTAATTTGTCTAAGGTGTGTCTATCACCGCATTGGTATAAAAATTTGATATTGATTGTAAAAGTATCACTATAGTGGTAGTTTTGTTTGAAATGTCTATCTTGGCAGATCTATCATTTCAGTGGTATAAAATATTTCATTTGGCTAATAAAAGTATCACTACATTGGTAGTTTTGTTTGAAATGGCTTTCTGCTAGATCTATCACTGGATTGATATATCTGCAGTGATAGTTTTCTTGCTGATCTCATATAATGAGTTGATAATTCTTATTATTGACTTATTTTTTAACGTCAGCAAGAATGGCAAGGACGAAGAGAAAGTGTCTTGCGAGCCAGAAGGTTGCGGGCAAGAAGCATACAACCTATGTTTCTAGGGAGTGGAAGTTGGGGTTAGTCAAACTCCTTCCTCTAGTGTTGGTACCAGCAAGAAACGACACCGTGAGAGATGGGAAAAGGGAGAACACGATAGGGGGAAGAGAAAACATGCTGATGATTGAATATTTACGTTGGTGCTTGTGCCAGAAGTATATTTCATGATCTACTTAGTATGAGTACTTGTACAGTGGTATGTGTACTAGACATGTGGTACAAGTATTGGTAGATCGGAGCGTGTACCAGTACAGTGGTTTAAGAACTAGTTCAGTGGTACGTGTACCATTACAATGGTATGCGTACCCGTACAAATTATGGGTTCATGTACCACTAAAGTAGTATTAGTACCACTGAAATTGTGCGAAAAATCATTTATATGCCAGTACTCGTGAACAAAGATATTTTCATGAAATTGAAAAAAGTTAACTAATAATTATGACCAAGAAAATAATAAAACTAATTCCAAACTTAAAAAAAAGTGCAGACCAAAAAATTTCCATTACGATGTATTTCTTAGTTAACCCATAATTACGACAAAGGAAATAATAAAACCAATCGACAAACTTCAAAAACAGTGCACACCACAATACGAAAAAGAAGTTGCACTCCTACGTGACCGGATCCTGTGGCTAGGGGGTGCTTATTCACTCCTATTATGGAAAATTACGAAGTATACAAACCGGACTTACAAACAGTACTAACCATACAAATATAAGAACAATACAAACTAGAGCGATAAAACGTACAAACAGATTTACAAACAATACAAACTAGACAGACAAACATTACAAACCATACTAATAGTACAAAATGCCACTACTTACAATCAAGGATTACGAAACCGTACCGGACATCAAACCGGAATCATTTTTGGCATGGTAAATCGTGGTACAACCATGATTCAACCGTTTCCTACCGGTAAACACCGTTTTTGGAATAAAAAAATTATTTTTTTGTTAAAAAACCGTACCGACAAAATTAGGGTACCATACCGGGAAAATATCGGAATAAAACCGGATTATACCGCTAGCCATTGATGTCACAATAAAAACAATAAACATAATTTTAGTAAACACTCACAAATTTTGTACGTACTACGGATCTTAATTCATTTCATCAATTGAGTTCTGTACTTCTGTTTACTAACCCATGAATTAGGTAACCAGTTCGTGGAGCGGGAGCGAGAGCGTGAAAGCGTCGATGTACAAAGAATTCAATATTTGAAGCGTGGGTGGAGCGTTATTATTATATTATTTTTATTAAAATTTTAATACAAAATTCAAATTTATAAATAGATTTTTATTAAAATTATCTCCTTTAGCGTTGAGAAAGAAAAATTTTCGTGGTAAGGAAATATGTTAAGATCTGATTAGTATTCCTTTTATGAGTAAACTATTTATTATTTTATTCATTTGTGTTTAATATATTTATTTATATTTTCTTTTTTTTATTTCTTCCCCCGACACCCACTACTCCGCTAGCAGAGCCACCTAACTCCTCTTTCCCTTTCTTCCCCAACACAGAAGCAGTTCCCTCTGTTGTCCCCACAATTTCATTCCCAGATTTTCACTCCAATTCTCCATGCAAGCGGAGATGCTTATTCATGTACTCCAATCTAAAAATAGATCAATTAATCGATTGAATCGACTCCGATGGTGATTTATTTATGGGAAGAAGAAGAACGACGGAGTCGGCAGGCCGTGAAT